ACTTTTATCGCTGTTAAGTTCTTTTTTTGAATGGATATAACCGTGTGCTCCTGCCCTGTTTATACCAGGTGGTATTAACATCCGTTTCCAGCCATCTGTTTGACACTGGGTGCTTAATACACACCCAAATGGGGTCCGAAACATTTTTGAAATTCATTCACATTAACCACATTCAGGGTGGTCAAAACCATTGCACTTCCCTTGTCCCCATTTTGCTTCAGCTTTCGGACAGCCTGAGTGATGTGATTTTTGTCATCAGCACAGTCGGCTGATGTCTAATGTGATTTGAACATGGAAAATTAAGTATACCGGGGTTTGAACAAAGCAAAGAACCACCTATTTCAGATTCAGATTCAACTTAAGTTTATTAAGTTTTCCCTGAAAGCATAGACCAAGAAATAATAGATGAGACCATCTCCCAAAATCTCAAGTAAATTCCCTCATGACGGCATTCTTGTAGCTTGAGCATTTGAGAGAGCATGGCAATGGCAATTGGGTTTGATTCCTAGGGAATGGATGAACCGATCAAATCTTGAATGCAATGCAAGTCGCTTTCAAAAATACTGCATACATGTAAATGTATAATGCACACAGACTTTTTTAAACCAGTTTGTTATAACATAGACATTTCTGACATGGATACTTAACTCTCATCTCATTATGTAAGAATTCATTTATGAAGAACAACTCATTTTTTTTTACTCTTTTAGTTTTACTTTTTAAAATATTTGACAAAAATAGAGACTTACGGCGAGCATTCCTGTACAGGAGAAATGGATGCTGCAGCTGGAAATCTAAGTCTTTTGTGATGGGTTCGGTCAGGTTGTCCATACTTAAGCGATTCAGGATGGTGAAGCCATGCCTGGGGGAGGCAAGCCTGATGCACAGAAAACTGACATTAAAACTCACAACATGAGTGGGAAAATAAACCTTATAAGTCTGAAGTACCTAAACATCTGTGAGTGGGAGTTTTGCAGTGTTAAGGCCTGTTTACACCGGGATGAATTTTATGTGCGATATTTGCCACCGTTTAAAGCCTCGTGACTAAACAAAAGGTGCCAATGTGTGCATACCAACACGAAAAACGGCACGCGTAAAAGCGGCATTTTAAAAAAAAAAGTCTCGTTAGTTTTTTTTTTTTTTGGTTTAATGCGTCAAAAACTTTTCGACCAATGAGATTGATGCTTTGAGATCACGCCGATATTTGTCTCTGTGTGTATGGCCCTTTAGTGCAGTCAAGTGTATTATATCAGAATGCTGAAATATATCATGAGGGTTATTTCTGTGAACCACTTCAGATACCTAGGGCTCTGATTCATGACCACGTGTGCATGTGCGTGTGTGTGCAGGGTTTCTGCAGGTTTCACAAAGTTAAATGTAAGACTTTTTAAGGCCTTAAATTGTGAATTTGAAATTTGAAATAGACAGACTTTTTAAGACCCCGTGGAAACCCTGGTGTGAGAGTGTCGCTTCACTGCAAAAAACATACAAACCTGTTATAGACAAACAGAGTTCCCTCAACATCTGTCTTTTCCTGCAGAAAAAAAATACATTTGTATTTGTTTATTCATTCATATTTAATGTAGACATAAATAATTCTAACATTAAATAACAAATTCAACTTTTTTTACATTCAATCATTAATTTTTATAGCTTCTTTACAATAGCAATTAATCTACCATTATTACATAATCTACCATAAATACAGTCATTAATGGTGTTGATATCATTGTTTACCCATTCATTAGTGGCATTGTTGAAGGTGTAGAGTGCTACTTGGCTGGCCAGGTCTGTGATGCTGCTGATATAAGGATCGAGTCTCTTTAGTGCAGACAGACTCATGGACAAACAGTTCCCGACACCTCCTGTTATTGCAGTCATGGCTCCAGCCCTGTTCTAGAAATAAAAACATTCAGACTCAAGATTACAATTAAAAACATTCAAATCAAAGACTTTATTTTCGACAGCTTTCAGGCCGCTTAATAAATAGTCTTAGAATAACTATTTTACCCCACAGGCAGTTGTTTGCATGCACACCATCATAGCCTATTAGGAATATTTGTACAGAGCTCCTGCACAAAAATCTCCTTTATCTGAAATATATTTCAGTTCAGTGATCTTTATATTGCACATTTTATTTTTTTTCTGCATAACTGCATATTGTGTTGTATGTCTTAGATATATGATCAATATATGATAATTTGTCGCTAATCTCAATAGATAGCTTTTTACCTCTAAAAATACAAATTATAGTTTTAAACAAAGAATTAAAACTATCAAACCTGGATGCATTTAATTTTTTTTTTTTAGATAAAAGTAGGCCCGTTGAAGTTGTGAATTTTCATTTCATTACATTTAACAAAAAAATAAAAAAATAAACACACAAATCAGGCCTGTAAGTTTATGCATTAAATTAATGGAATAAAGAAGGCATTTAAAACAATAATATTAAAAAATGTGATGAGTGATTAAATGTGATCCATGATGATGAAGTGAGGTTGATAAGGTGATCACACATTCTGTAGCACATTGTGAAAGTAAACTGCACACAGAAGTTTCATATTGCGGATTAGCAGTTATCCAAATCCCCAACAGTGTATGAAAAACAATACTGATGCTTGCTTTAGAAAGTACCCCTAATAATGGAATAATTCATGCATCTATAAGTTTACAAATATAAAATGAGGCCTTTGTGAGCTGCTGTTGCTCCTTTATAGATAGAACGGGAGTGAAACTTACCTACACTTCAAAAATCGCACAAATCCTAAAAATCCTTTAAAACGAGATCCAACTCTGTAAAATAGCTCAGTGACACTTTATTTTACGCTCTGGTCTACTGGTATGTGTTTCCAATGTTCTGCAAATCAGTAAAACAGGAATATAGCGCTTCATTTCACTTATCTAATTGCTGACCCATTGCCGTTCTCGCCATGTTTTCGCTGTCAAGAAGACAGAACGAGCTGATGGCCGAGAGGGTGCGCACACAGGAAAAGTAATCAATGACAATGAGTGCGAATAACCGATGAGCCCGAAACACCGCCCCCTACAGCTGTATTGAGCTCACCTGAAACTCCGCCAGACCTTTAATTTACATCATGGCTTGTGAGCTGACGCTCCATCCAGTGGAGATCTTGAGGATTTGAAATTCTCACATTTCTGCTCTATCCCTGTTCTGGTAGGCATTTTCCTATTGTTTGTTTGAATATGCTCTCTCTAAAACATATTTCGCAGCCCATATACTGGCTTGCTGCAGTTTTTATAGTCAAACCCCTTTAATAGTCAAAATTGTTTGATAATTTTCCCCATATTATCTGACTTTTTTGACTTAATAAATTGATCAAATCTCACTGCAAATGATGATTTTTTACAATTGCACTAGTAGTAGCTGAATATGACTTTGCATGATGCTGCATTCCCAACAATTGTCATACCAGCAACACAACAAAAACAAACAAAAACTGAGTGCACTTTCAACCAAGCACTCTACATTAAGGTTGCAACAGGGAAAACCTAGAAACTGAATGGTACTATTATGCCCTTGAGTGAGACACCAGGGTTGTTGCTTCAGGTGACTGTCAAATTATACAATGTTTTTTCCATCTAAAGGTCAATTTACTCAAAAGCACTTTACTCACTCGCCACTAGAGGGCATCACTACACAATTACTCGTGGTTTATCATCGTTCTCGGCAGGATTTTAAACCTTTCACAGAAAACACATCAGCCAGTTGCAGTTTGTTTTTTGAGCTTTTTGTTGTTGTTGTTGTTGTTAAAAATGTTCCTGAATTTAAATAAACATCTGTATGTTTTAGCTGATAAAATTTTGTTCAAAAAAGTTATTTAACTTTGTCAATTTAGACCTAACAAATAGGTTAAGAAACAGTACAGAAGGGAAGAGGATGTGTCGCCTCAGTTATGTTTAGTTAATTAGTAAATTGGTATAATTATGGTGTTAGCAAAAGAATCATGTAGAGCACGACCACTGTTGTATCATATTCCGTGTGCAGACAGACATGATTAGTCTTGACATTTGAAATGTGAGTCTGGAAGCTGGGAGGATATGTGTAATCTTTTAAGTGGCAAATTAACCTAACAAATTTTCCTTTTGTACCGATGCCCGTGATTCTCTGGATCCTTGGATTCACAGAGGCTCATGATTACAGGGTGGCACTGAAAAACACTTTATGAACTGTGCTTTGTAGGCTATAAGCATACCAAAGTTAATCAATTATTTGGGGATGCTGAAGGGAAATCGTTGACCTCTGTCATGAACTTTTGTTCAAAGCCAAATCCAATCAAAGAACTTGGCCGTAGATTAAATGTCCGGGAACCTTGTTCTTCCTTCATCCATGCAGGGGGACATCTGAAAACCTGCAATTCTGAGTATCTCTTATACACTTTAATTCTTTAAAAGACTGCTTGAATATTTAAAAAAATTCTAATGCACAGAGAGTGCAAGAGAGCGAGAGAGAGAGAGAAAGGATTATCTGGGGCCAGGGGTGTCTCTTGGGATATGTGAAGTTTTCTCATGGCTGGAGGGAGGTACCAGGGAAGGGCCAGCTAAATTCGTACAAGTGGTTTGCTGATGAAAGATTCTCAGTCATCTTGCAGAAATTCCCAGGCCCCATCGTCCCCTTTATCAGAGCCCACCAGTCCTCAGGAAACCGCTTGTCCTGTCATGGGAGGATCAGGTCGGTTAAAGCTCAGATGAAGGGGAAAAAATCGTCCCGGCACCTGCTGCTGCTGCATTGGGGAACTCAACATTCACCCATTTAAGTGGCATCACAGCAACCAGCAGGAAGTGGATAATGTCTAAACATGGTGCATGGAGCCGTGACGGTGAGCGTATTTACACCAGATTCGTTCTGGTACAAATCACCTTCCCAAATGTTTCTGGACTGTAAAAGAAATTGAAACACTTCGCTATGTTGGAGCTGATTTGACTCGATTTCCCCAAGTTTGCTCTCTTCCCTCATGAGATAGGCATAGGCTACAGCCCCGTGTGGAAAAGCGGGGAGGATTTATTCTCCTTTCTAGCGCAGTCACATCTGGAAGCAGTCAGGGAGTCTACAGGGGAGGGGGTTTGGTCGTCAGATCATTGCAGAGAGGCTGGTGGTGTGCGCTCTCTCTCCGCAGGGCCACAGACTACTGACTACTCCCCTTTCTCTCCAATATGGACTGGACGCGGCCGATTCTGCACTCTGTTTCCTAACGAGGCGCGACGCAAACTACGCCTGTTGAGGAACATCTCAGATGGAGTCGATCGTATGCGAAGATCGAAGCCCGTGAGATCTGGAATATACACACCTTTTATCTTTTGCTGCGCTTTCTGAAACGGTCTCTGAAACTACGCCCGCTTTTCCTGCGCTTCTTCTGGCTGTTGCAGCATCCTTTTCGAACCGTTTCCGAGCCAATCGCGCCGATTTGATTATCGATTATCAGCAAGCGGCGCTGGTATCATGTTTCTTAGGTAGGGCCCGGATGTTCCAAAGATGCACTGGTTCGTTTTCTTAGGTGGCCCCTGCGAATATCTTTTCCTGATCTTTAGCTCCATAATGGGGATCAGGTAATATTAACTAAGCCGCGAGAGAAGGAATATCTTACGCTTTGCGTTTTTCATTTTTTTTTTTTTGCTTCTCCCTTTTTCTTTTATTTCTTTCCCTTGGGTTGTTTTTTCCTACCCCCTTCTCTTTTTTTTACAACCTTTTCTTCATTCACCTTCGGATAAAGCTGGACCACATATATGGTAAATGAAAGCAAAAACATGTACATACCGGAGGACACCCTTGAAAACCATCAAGGTAATTTTTCCATTTGCCTTCCCTCTGTTTGGAAACTATGTGTGTGTGCCATATGGATGTGTTGGGGGGTGTATGATGAGGCTGTTGGCATTATCATGGGCATGACGCGGGGGTGTACCCTCACCTATCCATTTCCAAACACACTATGCGCACTGAAATCGCTTTTTTGGAGGACGATCAACAAATGTCATGAAATTTAGCCACTCATGCCCAACAGCTATTCTAATATTATTTTTGGAGGGAAATGCATATATGTAGTTGATGAACTTGTTGGTTGGCTCGTGCGGCTGCTTGTGGACACGCCACGGCTTGATCATCATGTGGTCACAGACGCGCGCACAAATGTCAATCGATTATCCTGTCAGCTGCTTCAGACTTAAAATGGCCTTTTAATCATTTTGTGCGGCCAGATTGCATTGATCACAGTCCAACAGCTCAAATGAACTCGGGGTGGTGTCATCGGCGCATCAGTGATTACTCTGTTCAGAGCATCTCAAATGGTGAAATGAAGCACCATCACTCATGCCCCCTCATTCTCGTGTTCATCTGTTGAATTTCATTTCTTTTGAGACAGCTGGTGTGGCGCAGCAGTCTCCACAGGTTGCGTGCTTTTAACGCTTGCGCAAAGCGAGGAGTTTCAGTCCTTTCCCTTTACAAGATTCCCCTCCATCCAGGGCCTCCTGTTGGCGCCGTGGCAACGGAGCTGCCGACCCATAGCAACAGCGCGGCTCATGATAAGCCCGCTCCCGGCGCGCGCACCTGCCGCACCTGAGTGAACAAACGCATCCGAGCAAAACCTGTAAATTGCGGCCAATAATGTAGCTCCGCCCCTTCAGGCCCACTGCACATCTGTCATGCAAAAAGCTAGTTAATTATGCCAACTGAAATAATGATGTTTCTTTTGCACTGTCTGTGAGGGACAGTTGTGCGTTTTCATAGATGATTGAATAGGCTACACTGACAAACACTCTTTGTTGGTATTAAAATAGAAACAGTGCGACCAAAGATGGCAAAAGGATTTAGAATCCAATTTTAGATGCTTTGTTGTGTTAGCTTAGACAGTAAACGTTTATCTTTTGATCTGCATGTCATTTTGTCAGATTTGTGTCTTACAAATTTCCTCTTGATGTTGAAACATACAACAGTTTCTTGTCACTTTTCAGTTTCTTTATAAATGTGCTCTCAGTAATTGTGTGCTAAGTTGCAAAGTTTTATTTTTAATGACATAAACAAAGTTTTTGAGATGCATTCTTAAATAATTTTTGGTCTTTTTATACCAAACTGTTTTATTCAGCTTGATTCTTCACCCCATTTGCCAAACTGCGATCACATGACCAGCTGTGTACTGTAATAGACTGTTACTAATAATAATTATTACAATAATAATATATTAATCCATAAAGCACTATCAGACACTTCACAAATCACAAAAAAGTATGGAACACAGCCACAGAGAGGAAAGAAGTACAAAAAGCAGCAATCCACTTCCAACATTGGGGGGAAAATGTTTGAGATTAAATCCAAGAATTTTATATTATAAGAATGTTTTATTAATGTGTTTGGTATGAGACAGGGTAAAACTTTGAACAAAACTGAAAGATAAACAAACAGCTTTGTAAACAAACTTCATGCATCCAGGCCCACAGGTGTCAGTAAGTCCAAATGTTTACTGTTTGCACCTTTATCATTATCTAACTAAATGATTTACATAGCCTTAAGTAGACAGCGCAGGATCTCCATGGTGGTGTGTAGCACAGCAGATGTTCATGTTTGTGTTGTGCTGTCGTCTGCCGCTGCTGACAAGGACTTGCTTTCAGGTAAACACAACCTCAGTCAATCACAGGTCCAGGCCAGAGCAACGTATCACAGCCAAACATGAACCTCTTCTGCTGTACAAACACTCAAACAGCAGGAAAATTGAAAGCGTGTTTTGTGCACTAAGATATACCGTCACTTTCTGGAATGTTAAATATGACTCATGAAGTGCTTGAATGCCTGTGTCTGAACTAGCATTTACTACACGTTTGTAAGATTTTTACTCTGCAGTTGAGGGAAAATGCAGAATAATGAAATCATTTGCTGATGTCACTCTGCTGTACTGTGATGTAATGATGCTATTGAGTTTTCATGTCACTCCAGTCATTTGAGGCACGAGGAGACATTTATGGGACTGCTTTAACGGTTTTGCGAGTGCTTAGTATGTGCATTCCTTTCTCTTTGGCTCTTTTTCTCTCTTGAAGGTTGTTGGTTCCCTTGATGCTCATTGGTAATGAGGGTGGCATTATCTGGCTTCTTCCTCGGCTTTGTGCCAGGTTCATTTGACAGGTAATTCATGTCATTAGCTAAATGAATATGTTTATGATAGATTTCAAAATGTCTGACGAGCCTCTACGACGCCATCTCGGATGACTGACTGACTGATGTCTGACAGGCGATCTGTCCCGGACTTTTCCTTCTTGTGCAGAATGATCAAGCACTTCTTGCTTCTGTTTCACTGTCAAACACATGCACGTCTCCAAAGTCCCATGCAAGTGCACCCAAGTTATTCGATTCCTGGAATACGTTTGCTAATGTTGTTTGTTCAAAGCGTTGTTTAATGTTTACCTAAAAAATATTTAAGGCAGCTAAACCTGCATCAACATAAATCCTTCATTAACGTTGTGAAGTCGAGAAAGTTGTCAGTTTGTTTATTGCCGTGACTGTAACTAAAAGCATCTGCCGTCACACAGAGATCGTCACCGGTTTCTTGCCTTCCTCATTTGGCACTGTGTATTCTAAAACGTAAGGACAAAGATATGGATTGATTTTGGTTCCTGTCCTGCTACAACGACGTATCCACTGTAGCTTGTTCTATTTAATCACTATTTATTCGTGCATTCAAATCTGAAATGTAATTTGAGATCTGTAGAAATATGCCAAAGTGTATTAGGATGCCAAAGTAATTAGGCTTCTCAATCTGCGGAGCAGTTGGTGCCGGTCACTGTGGGATTGTGGGACACATTAGGTGTCGTAACATAACAATCACAGGAGTGCGTTTGGTCTTAGCAACACTCAGGACTTATTAGCTGTCTGTAAAAACATGCATGTTGAGCACAAATCATCTGCTCTCGCTTCTGCTTAACATCAGTGCTTGTGTTTCTAGCCAGAGCGCTTCCATATATGTTTACTGTATTTAAATTATTATGGCACGTTACTTTACTATGTTGAGAATCAGATGCTGGACACTGTGAGTAGTCATTTAGCAGAGGCTTTTATCCAAAGTGACTCACCGTAGACTTGTTGCTTTGGAAATCCCCCTGGAGCAACTTAAGGTTAAGTGCATGTTAAGATTTGCTCATAATACGACCAATATCATCCTTACTGTTATGGAAAATACGTTTACTAATGAATAAAATATAGCTGATTTTTAAAATGGTCTTAATCTTCTACAATGTTGGTATTTCTGTTAATGTTGTATGAGCATTTTTAGGAAGAATATATGAATAGTTCTTGTCTGTGAAAGAGTACGTTATATGGTTGGTTGTTTATATGGTTAATGTTAAATTTTAATGTTTAATGTTAAATCCTAAACAAGTTAGAGTTATAACTCATATTTGTAGCACAAATTATGTTTTCATGGCAAAAGATTGATACTTAGAGTTAGAGATTTTAGGGATCCCTATACTCCCTAAACAGACCCTACTCATGTATTTATACACACAAACATGCATGGAAACACTCTTTTTGCAAGTTTGAAGTGTGTACACTCCACCCAGCTAATAAAACGTATGTTTGCTCCGCTTCTCTCAATGCTCAGTGTCAAATCCAGAGCAAGGAGAAGTAGATAAATGGAAGAATGACAGACTGCATGAATAAAAGCGTATATGTTAATAAAGCAGAAAACAGCTGCTTGTGACACATTGGCACCGCAGGCACCCCTCAGCATTATGGGAAATAACCAAAGCCCCCCGTTAACATGAGTCATCAGCGGGTCACGACATGGGAGTCTAACAACCATTTCTCACTCCTCTGAACTGTAGTCCCTCTAGCGAAGACTGCACGAGTGTGAGTGAACTCTGAGCGATCTGTGCGTGAAAAGCTCTGAACTGCGCTAAATGAGTTGCGACTGGTCGTAATTGTCGCTGTAACGTCAGTTCATCCTCTTAATATTTCGTCAGTAATGGTTTCTGTATGAGAAACTGTTTCTGAGCTTTTTGGAAATACACTTGGATTTTGCACGCACAGTCTTTAATTTTTAATCTAATCTAAATCTGCCACGTCCAGCTCGAGTAAAAAGCTCTGTTGTTGACTCTGCACTTCGTCATAGTACTGTATTTTTAACACGCATGGATTACTTGTTTATTGGCAAGCAGCTCCTTGTTTAATTGTTTTACTACATAAAACGCAAAAAAAGTATAAAACGCATCAGTTAAATTTTTAAATGTTTATGGGCTATACAAAAATTTAGGCAAATTTTGTGAAAAAAAAAAAAAAAAAAATCAGGCTTAGCTATGGCATATTGCAACTGGGTGGCAGTGTGTTTCTGATGTGTTGTGTGGTTTCCAGGATGTTTTGAGTGGTTGCTATCTGTTTTCTTACTAGCCCATCCCCAAAGATATCCTAATAAAATCATCACAGTCCATGTTTTACAAGCCACGTTCCATAGACGGAATTACAGTCAGGATGTCATTTGTCTGTATTAGTCTTAGCTTTGGTTTGATTGCTATAAATAGATATTTTTAACTGGCGTTGCTATGATCCATGTTTTTCTTTTACTCATAAGAAACCAGCAGCATGATGTGCTTAAAGTAACAAGAGGTGGGTTAGGTAGTTCTTTGACAGCAGTCAAGACCAACTGAGGGGTAAACTGAAGTTATATACAGGTTCTTCTTTTATTGCCCACCTTCTGATAAAGTCATTTATATGATCTAATAGCTTTTAAGTACAAACCTGCTCACTTCTGGAAATCTGACAAACCATTTCTATTGCCAAGCATCTTAAAAGCTTTAAAAGGAAAAAAA